CGACATCCCGCTCCGGTCGAAATATTGCGACGTCCCAGGAACGTCGCCGACCCAACCCAAACATCAGAGTTAAATCGCGGCGGAAGCAATCAAAAATCCCGGACAATAAAATTGGAGAACACCAAGAAGGAACAAATCGACAAACCACCAAGCATATATTACACTTCCAAATATTTACATCATCCGCCAATACAAACCACAAAATAATTTATAAGCACACCGAACTATAAACTCCAAACCACCAAATTATTAAGATCAGCTCTCTAGGTCAGCACTATCCAAAAATGGGGCGCATCCTCCTCCCAGAACTATCCCCTATGCCCTCTCGAAGGCGTCCACTCTGACTCACTGTCCTCGGCATCACCACTTGAATCCTCCGCGGCTGTCTGCTCACCCGACGACTCCGAGTCGACCTCAACCTCGACATTCAGGCGGGGCTCTGAAATGGTTTGGTTGAAACAACCATGAGATCACATCTCAATAAGTCACAACCTAAGCCCCACCTAGGCTATCACGTAATTCCGCATACACATCCAAACGCGCAACCAAACAACCACACAACCAGCAATCAAACATTCACACATACCTGGACTCTCTGCATACGCACCATGCCCGTTAGCCCACAATCCCAACATACAATTCTTGCACACATGCCATCACACACTTTCCACATATCAATACACACGCCAATCATACCACAGCAGTACATCACAGCCGCGCGCGTGCCTCGATTATAAAGCAAAACCTACTTGGGCACGTCCCATACCATGCCTAGCAGATTTTACCCCATAATCGCGCACTGCATTACGCGATGCAAACACACTCGCACACCAACTCACACCACGCGTCACTTTCTCAAACCTCGCACCTCAAGCCAATTCCCGCTCATTCTCAACCTTTCCACCACTACCGCGCCCGCGTAAAACGCATCAGGCCAACGGTCTTCTGACCTCGTCAGGCATCGACACCCCGTCCGGCCGGGCATCGTCACCTCGTCGTGGGACGGCATCGTCCCGCGTAAACGAACACGCCTCGGACGGAATCCTACACACACTTTCCTTCTACCGCGCCCGCGTAAAACGCATCGGCCAACGGTCTTCCGACCACGTCAGGCATCGTCACCCCGTCGGGCCGGGCATCGTCACCTCGTCAGGGACGGCATCGTCCCGCGTAAACGTACACGCCTCAGGACGGATCCTTTCCAACCAATTCCACATTTCCGTATCCTCGTTCCACTCAAACCGCACTTACACACGGTCAACAGTCGCACGACCAAACATACACACCTCACCCGCATTCGTAGCCACGCACCAATTCACATCTCACGTACACTTCACAAACACACGTTCTCGTCATACGAATACACCACACGACCATACACATTTAACACGCGAATTCAATGTGCACTCACACTACCACACCGCCACACCTCACGGCCACATACACACGGCACACAGCCACGCCATATTCAGCCCAACACATAATCCCGATCCAGCCAACAAATCACAAACAACACAATTAATCAATTAAGCACAATCAAGCCATAACAATCCCACTCAATCACACAAATGAATCCCGATCGATCCACAATATCACTGCCCTATCCAAATCTACTAAACCTCAAATTTTCATTGCCAAATTAGTCCGTAACCAACAAATATCCAGCCTCTAAATCAGTCTCCAAACAGTCACAATAATTCCAATCAATTATACAAATTAACTGCGATCGCTCCACACATCACAGCCATCATCGAGCCTACAAATCCTCACCAATTTCTTCTCCAAATCAGTCCCCAAATCAGCCCACGACAACCAAATACCAGCCTTCATCTCAGCCCCCAAAACAGCCACATAAACCCCTAAACCGAACCCTAAACAGTGACCGAAATCCCATCAAAATAAATAGTAAACGAACTCCAAAAATTCTAAAATTTGGATATATCATAAAACACATCTTGATCAACATTTCTTATGAAGAACACAAAATCCGGTTCAATCTACAACCATGCCTTTTTGTCCCTCGAAGTCAGACCAAAATCAGTTCGCTCTAACAGACTATTCTGTCCTCAAAATACATTTATTTCAACACCCAAATCACCTTGAAAACCTTTTAAATTTTTATATGTTATAGCCACAAATGTCCCCAACAATTTTTATGAAGGAAGTATTTTGAAAATAGGCCTGAAAAAATTTATAAAAATTCGAACAGACCCGAAGGTCGGGTAAACAGTAAATCGGGCAGTTTTATTTCGGTCCAAAGATGGACTTCCGAATGGCATCAAATGATTTCCAAAAATTCCAAAATTAAAATATGTTATACTTCAAGATGTTGGAAGAAACTTTCATGAAGAAAACTTCCTCAAATTCGGCCCACAAAATTTTCTACGAAAATAGCAAACCGGGCGGGTACAGTAACCGTGAATCCGCGATTCACCCCGAACCTCACGGATTCAAACCCGAACCGATTTCTACCGAATTCCAACCGCCAAAACTCATTTCCCGACGTCTAATCCAACCCGCAACAACCGCTAATAGTCATGATCAGCCACCAATAACCACGATCAACCACCAAAAACCATTATCGACACCTTAATCAACCTCTAAATCCTCTAAACCATACCCGACGAGTCCGAAAATACCCGACGTCCTAAATAGGGATTAGATCGCGACTTACCGGACTCTAGACTAACTCGGCTAGAGCGGGAAGGTGGAACGGCTGGCCGGCGTGGCTCCGGCGAAACTCCGGCGAGAGAGAAAATGAAGGAAAATGGAGAGAAAGTGGAGAGAAAAGGTGGGAAAATGGGGAGAAAATTTCTGAAGAGGGCTGGTCTGCACGTGAGAGTGAGTGAGGAGAGAGAGAGATCAGCCAACTTGGTCAAATAATTTAATTAGGGGTGCCATGTGTCAAGCTTAGGTAAAAAGGACTAAAATGCCCCTAATTAAATGGTTCCTATTCATTCTTATCTAAAAAGAGAGGGGCAAAAGGGTCAATGGTCCCCAAGGATGCAGCTGATATTTATCCATAATTATCCCAATTTATCCAAAAAAAATTCGGACCCAAAAATTAGCCCAGGGGCAAAATGGTAATTTTCCGGTCTCGGGGCGAAATTCCAATTTTCGCACATACGCGTTCCATATGTGCGTGGCCAACATAATGTGGTGTCGGAATCGCGAAATTCACTTTCTAAGTCCTCGAAAATCGACTGCGAAGTTCCGGGAATAAAATAATATTATTTTTCCAATTTTTGTCGAAATTCTAATTTTTGGCCGTAACCACTCCAAATATGTGTGGCCACTCTAAAATGACCTTGGCCTCGAAAAATAACCTCAAACGACCTCAAAATCCAACATCGGTGTCCACAGGGGCAAAACCGTAATTTTTCCGGCCCCGGACCGAAATCTATTTTTTTGCAGAAATGGGTGGCCCCAAGGTTGGCCAAGCCGAAAACGTCATCGGCCGCTCAAAATTGTCACTTTCAAAATTCTCGATTCCCAGGCCCGAATTCTAAGAAATGACTAAAATTGAACAATCGCGACTTTAGCTTATCTCTGGCTAACGGGTGGCTCTCTGGAATTACGCGCTCTCGACCCGTGACCGACACTAAGTCAAATCACGTTTAAGTTGACTCCACCCGGGACGACCTCGGTTGTCATATAATTGCGAGGGTCTGTCGCTAGTTCCCTTCGGACACGATCAATCAAGTAGACCGGTCTCGGTTGGCTCAAAACATTCCCTCGTCAATCCATATGGTCGAAGATCGAACCCAGGTCGAGTTCTTTGGTCGTGCGAACTCAATCCCGTAATAGCCCTACCCCTAAGGTTAGCATCCCGAGAATGCGCGGTTCCCGGGTGAGATCTCACTATAGCGCATTGGTCAAATTCATTTCCTAAATCCCGGGAAAAAGGATCGAAAATTCAGACCGTTACATATGTTGAATGAGCATTTTCGGGGCTTTTTTCCATTAGTGTGGACATGATGTAATGATACATCTAAGGCGGTAACGCATGGCAAGCGAAGGTGGTCAGTCCAAATCATGGTAAGGTTCGCTGATACCAGTGGTTCGATCGGTGGTCATTGTAAATGATATAGAGGCAGCGACAATATTTCAAAGCAAGGATTTTATGCCAAATACTGAAAATGTGAGCCAAAATTCATCCTCCTATTAATCACTCTTCCTTCTCATATCTACTATATGGTATTTCACAGCGTATGGTATTGTAATAATCAAAGATAGCACATAACATGATGTATTGTTTCGAATTTACCAATGGATCATAAGTGATCAATCAAAAACTGTCCATTGACCTTGATTGTGCACTTACTTTGGTACATTTGCAGATGAAGACCTAGCTGCAAGTCTCGGTCTTCTGGCATTTGAGCCATGGGCTCATGACTCAGTCAATTATAAACTGAAGAAAAATCAAGATGAGAGTACTGTGGTTACCAAAAAAAAAAAGATGAGAGTACTGCGTGGGGGAACGAGCAGCACATGAGGTCGTGTGTTACTTCCTATCCTCTTGGTATTTTCAATAGAAGCAGAAAATAATTGTCAATAAATATCGTCTGAACACGAGTCAAACAGGAAAATTACCAAATCTTTTTTTTTTGGCCAATTTTATCATAAACTTTTATAACTGTGTCAATTCAATCCATCCGGCCAATTTTGGCCGGCCGGCTCCGACGGGCTGACATGAAATTATTTTTTCTTCAAATTATTTGTTTTTTCTTTTCTTTTTGTTTTTGTTTTTTCTTTTCTTTTTGTTTTTGTTTTTTCTTTTCTTTTTTCTTTTATTCCTTCTTTTCTTTTCTTTTCCCACAGTGGCCAGCAAGGCTCCAGCGAGGGCCATGAAGCCTTCGCCAGCCACCGGCGAGTCGGATTGATTGAATTGGCACAATTGCAAACGGTATCAATGAAATATACTGGTCCATAGCCATTAAGATGATGTCGGTTGGTTGTACGGAGAGCTCACGCCATAAATACAAGGCGTGCATGCATATCTTCCTCACACTTCTCTCTTCCACAATCTCCACTGCTCCATGACAATGGAAAGATCAATTACAGTTTTCAAGTTTGCACTGGTTGCTTCTTTAGCTTCAGCACTTGTCCTTGTGGTTCAAGCCCAACAAAATCCAGGTCTCTCTCTCTCTCTCCTCCACGTTGAGAAATTTTTTTGAGTTTGCATGAGATGCTAGAAGAAATTTTTTTGAGTTTCCATGAGTTTGTATGAGATGCTAAAAGATTTTGAGTTTGCACGCTTTGCTTGGACTAAGGATAGAAAATGGAGGGGGAAATTTGAGTGAAAATCTCAGAACAAATTAGACTTTTTATGAGATGGGAGAGGAGGAGAAATCTAAATTGTGGGCATCCTCGACCTCAATTTTCTTCTCTCCTTTCTCCCCAACACAGCATGATATTTTCCCCGTCTTGTAATTTAAGCTTCGTACAATGTTATTGCCCCATCTATGACGTCAAGAAATGTTGGCCATTTTATTGTCTATAGCCCTATATTAGTCATTACCCTCTAATTAAACAAAATGGTCTCTTCTTTATATTCAGTCTCATTTGATTTAAGTGTCAAATCATTGGTGCATTGGAAATGATACTACTGATTTGTGCGATTTGTGCGAATGATCGAGATTCACTGAACTTGTTCCAATGGTTCAATAAAATAAACTGTCGTTCCATTTCATTGACCTTTTCTTTTCTCTGAACTTAGAAGGTTTTATCAACATCGATTGTGGGGCAACTAATGAATACACTGACATTGACACCGGCATAATATACAAAACCGATGAAGGGTTCATAGACTCTGGAAAAAACGTGCAGCTATCCACGACATTCTCCGATGAGCTGTTGAAGAATTTAAGGAGTTTTCCCAACGGAACGAGAAACTGTTATAGTTTAAAACCAGACCAAGGCAAGAACAACACCTACGCGATTAGGGCAACATTTTGGTATGGGAACTATGATGGGAAGAATCAGGCTCCTTCATTCGACTTGTACGTCGATGTTAATTATTGGACCACGGTGAACTACTCGTATAACAGTTGGGAAGAAATCATGTATGTGTCCCAGGCAGATGATATACAAGTGTGTCTTGTGAATACTGGCAAAGGGGTGCCCTTCATTTCGGCATTGGAACTGAGAGCTTTTGATGATGATGGCATCTATCGATTAAGATCTGGATTCTTGTTACTCGATCAGCGATATGACATCGATCAAAGCTCGAACTCTACCATAAGGTGATCAGTTATTTTTTTATATACAAATGAATAGTAATCATAGTAGAGAGAGATTCAGTTTCTTTTTATCGAATTTAGCCATTTTGCAAACTATTGAAGACTCAAGTATCTAATTTAACCGAAAAGAATAAGGCCAACCGAATTGGTAACGAGTCGAATGTGTGAAAGATCCAAAGGGGCTACTAGGTTAGGAAAAATAACAAGTACACAAGACAAAATTGAGCAAAGACAAAAAAAATAAAGGCCACGAAAAATCAAGAGATTACAAAAAAAAAAGTTTAAATAATCATATAAAATGATAGTAGATGTCAAAGATTACAACAAAAAATCATTAGATGATTAAAAAATATGAAAAGAGAAACAGAAAAGCCATTAGGTCCAAGAAAAAAAATAAAGTTATTTGAAAATTTTGAAATTATAATCCAAATCAAAATTAGAATTTCACATATGTATCAAAAACACTTAAGTCACTCCAACATAACAGGCGAACTCATTGATTAATTTAGGAAAAAGATTCAACACCATTGCAAAAATATACCAGAGTATAGTCACAATTATTTTTGGCCTTAATATGCAAATAAATATTCAATAAACTAATATGATTTTATTCTATATATTTTTTATTATATTTAATAAAGGGGAGCTTCAACTTTTAAGGGAATACAATCTTTTTTTTCTTCTTCAAGAATTTAAGTAGACAAATCTTTCAATTAATAATTTTATTTCACCTCTTGCGAATCTCGACTATAAAATTTAAATCTTTTCTATCCTACAAACAACTTTACAAAAAAAATTAAATATTGAAATATTTTTCTCTCTCTCACACACACACATGAGTGTTCAATTCACTTAAATGGTGTTAATAATTTCTTCATATTAATAATCAGTAGTTCAAATATTTCATAACAAAATGATTATACAAAATCTCACAAATGTCAATTCTTCGCAGACACAAATGTGTGTGCATTTTTGCTAGTAAATATATAGTAACAGTGTTTTCCCCAAGGGTCACCTTTAAGGTTGACACATAGAATTCTAATTTGTAAGGGACTGATCATTCTGGTTGGAAGGAGTATTTTCTAGTACTCTCCATTCATTTTGCTACTTATTTGTTGCTCTTGTCTCTCTCCTTCCTCTCTTCGTTATTTCTTTAGTTTAATTGCACCTCTTTTGTATCAAAGAAGTTTCGTGCCTTGATGATGACATAATACTTTATATTAGTATACAAGTACGTTTACTAAATAAAAATACATAAATCAAGTGCACTTGAGACATAGTAAGAACAAACGAAATATAATAAGTCAAAACATCAAGTTGACTATTTCATTATATTAGTTTATCAAAATGATTAATCCTATGTTAACATTAGAATACAACAACCCGTGCAAAGCATGTCTAGTCTATTGTAGAACTCAATGTCTACTCATGAAGAGGGGACTTTACATGTACATATACGAAAAATAGAAGTGCTCTCAGAACATTTATTAAGGGCTATTAGTTATATTTTGAAAATATTAATATTTCTATTTAAACTATTAAAATTTCTTGAGATATTTTGTATTCCAATATTCAAAACATATATCAGTATGCGTTTTTTATAATGTTAGTGATCTTAACTAGTGTCACCATGACACTTGTTAGTAATATGTATCTCTGAAGTTTGGTGCTAATGCTCATTTTACATAAAATACATGATTATATAGATTGCTATTTTGAAGTCCTTACATTCCATCCAAGAAATATTTCAGTTGTGGGAGAAATAGATCCCAACCTCGTCCGAACCCTTTTAGCCTGCAAAAAAGAAGAAAAATAATCCATTTGGGAAATGCTTCAAAACCAATAATTTTTTTTGTTTAATTACGTAAATTGAGCTATATGAAACCGATGTATTTGTATGTACAGACGTGTTACAAGACCGTGGCCACTAACTTCTCTTGACAAATAAAATCAACTGCACATCATATTGCAATTTTCAGGTTTTGCATTGTATCACCAGTGAGATATTCTAATTTTTGAAACCAACCAAAGCATCGGCTCTTCGCTAGTAATGTGTTGAATATGTTAAATTCAATATTTGTGTTGCATATCCATATCAATTTGCATTTGCTAGTCCCTCAGTCAATTGCTTAATTATTTGCTCTTAAACTATTTGTGAAAATGCCTCATTCAGGTACCCTGACGATATTTACGATCGGATCTGGACAACTATTAACATTGATGACTGGTTCTTTCTGAAAACCGCGTCTCCCATTAATTTATCTGACAACAACGAAGCATTAAAGTACAAGGTTCCCTGGACAGTTCTCCAGACTGCTCAAAGATCAATGAATGCCAGTTCTCCCTTGAATTTCCGGTGGCCACATTGGTACCACAGACAGAAATGGATTGTATACTTTCATTTTGCGGAGATTGAGAGACTGGCGAGTGGCCTGCAGAGGGAGTTCACAATTTCCGTTAATGATTATCAATTCACGAAGACGGTGAGCCTTGAATACTTAAAGCCAGTGGTTGTAGTTTCCACTCCAGTCAACACGTCGCTCGTCACCTTCTCAATTGAATCAACAAATGAGTCTGGAAAACCGCCGATCCTCAATGCTGTGGAAGTCTATGCCGTTATTGAACTTCCAAATGTACCCACAGCACAAGATGATGGTAAGCTTTTATTCTTCTACATGTTTTTATTGTCTACATACACTTTGTACAGTTGTGCTACAATTGACATCAGTAATAATTAGATAGACGTTCCATTGTCCGTAGGTAAGATTTAGGGAATCCTATGCTAAATATACTAGTCTCCACTGTGGGTCTTTATGTCATTCGTGAACTCCGATTTTGTTGGGATCAACAGGTGTGGCTAAGTATTACTCTGCTATCTGCTTAATTCCCTGCTTTGGCTACTTTTTGTTTGGTAATTGCTGGAATGTCTCTTCAAGCTGAAGCCCTGAAATGTTACAAGTCTTTTGAAAGCTGAAAGTCTGTATAATTCATATGTGAGTTCAACCACATTTTGCATCTCTATCCTTCTCTGTAAATGATAGATCATTTTTGTGATTTAAATCACAGTGAAAGCTATCAATGACATCAAAGCTACATATCACATTAAGAGAGAAAGCTGGCAAGGTGATCCGTGCGTACCGCGCAACTACACATGGGATGGTCTAAATTGTAGCTATGGAAATCCTCCAAGGATTATATCGCTGTGAGTCCCCTAACACTGTTTATCAGATACTGATTTTCTAGGTGAAACTTAAAAAGAAATTTTATTCATCGTGAAAACTGGAAGTTTTATGTATCAGCGAGAAAGAACATTTAAGATCAATGCAACCTCCCAAAGTGAATTCCCACATAGGATGGTGACCTTTTGGGGTGGGTGTGAAATTAGGAATCAGTGTATGAGCTCTCTCCAATATCACGTGAGATTCCCCAATAGCCTACTTTTCCAATTTTTGACATTAATGTTCCAAGTTGCATTGTGTATGAGCAAGTATTGGGTCCTCCGAAAATAATTTTTAGATACTCTAGGTCCAAAAATAACCACAAATTATAGAACAAGGAGATAGTGAGACCCATGCAAGGTATGAAATTGACTATTATGAAGTGTCTTCCAGTACCTAAAACATTCACACCAGGAGGACCTAAAATATCTTCATTCTGAAGAATTGATTGCACGAACTTTCTATATTGTACCAAAAAATGCTGCCTTTATGAAGATGGCAATGACAACATCCTCTATTTTGATCTTCGATGGTCAGGAAATTGAGCTCAAGCAATTTGATGGGCGAGATAGTCTCATCACTTTCACATCTGTCAAGATTGGAATACCTGTAAGTATCATCGTGGTTGATCTAGTTGTTTCTGCACATCACTCATGATTAAGCCCCCCCTGGGAGTAACTCATGACTGAATGACTAAGGTTGTGCTTTAGGAGACATAGGCTGTTGAAATATTGCCCTAATGTGTGGAACTATACTGCTTTTGGCTATGGACCTGGTTAACTTGATATTAGGTGTTCTAAACTTGCTCTTTCCCAGAGATTTGTCCGACAATCAGCTTACAGGAGCAATACCAGAAACTCTGGCAGAATTACCAAATCTTAAATTTCTGTAAGTTAATGTGCTAAGTGAAGCAGCAAAGGTTTCAAGTGGACAAATCTCTAATCATGGCTATATTTGCAGAAACTTAAGTGGAAACAACCTGATAAAATCAGTTCCTGAAGCTCTTAAGAAAAGGGTTGTGGACAATACTTTAAACATGAGGTTCTCTCTCTCTCTCTCTCTCTCTCTCTCTCTCTCTCTCTCTCTCTCTGTCTTGTTATGCAACTTTTACAGGCTAGTGATCAGCATTTGGCAAATCAATCTGGACATATTTTGAGAGGAATATGAGTTCAGCTCCTTCATTCTTTGTGGTAGTTTGACAGGAAACCCGAATCTTTGCCATGCTGATCCTTGCCCGCAGAAGAAGAAACAAAATACCATCCTCGTTCCAGTTGTTGCATCAGTTTCAGGCTTCTTTGTAGTTCTCTTTGGTGCTTTGGCTACTATTTGGTTAATTAAATGGAAACGGAAAGCAGGTGAGTTTCTTACTTGTCTTGTTCAGGCAATCTACACTACATTTGACAACAATCTTAACTTTGGTTTTCCATTGGTACAGTTCTAACTGCAACAGTGTCTTTTCTAGGATAATTTAGTTGAGAAAATACAACTCAGCAACAGCAAACCCCACCCCCGAGAGTATCATTTTACAATCTCATCAACCTCAGGAATAAAGGAAAGTGGGCATTAATCCAAATTCCCCAATGCTAGTAATCTGAGTTACATAGTTGTCACAAGAAAATGGAGAGAAAAGAGAGACAAAGATCACCACAGCATGGTCGCATCAGCATCACAAAGAGTATCTGCATTATTCGGCTTAACTTAATAAAATTTCTAATTTTTCTTTTCAAAAGTAACCGAGCTATGCATGGGAAGGACTTCTAACGATTTGAGAGAGAAAAACTGTCCTTAATAATCTGAGGCTCCCTAAAAGAAAGTTCGATTGTGTGATCGCAAACTTATCTTTGTGTATTGAGCAAAGAACAATTATCCATTTGATAGCATATTGAAGGCAGGTGACAGAGAATCCCTGCCCAGATCTTTCGATTATTGTCCTCTTCTCCATTAATATAGCTCTTGAAACGGGATCAGAAAAACCCTTCCTATGTCTTTTAATTGTTGCGGATGCAATTACCATGGGAAGTTATTTGCCTTGAAAGTCTACTATCCGAAGGGGTAGTCACAATACTCATAGGAACCTATTTAGTACAGGATCTAGTGAAAGGACGCTGAGATTAAAGAATCGACCTTTCAAGTATGGAGAGGTTTCAAGAATCACTGGGAACTTTGGACGAGTGATTGGTGAAGGTGGATTTGGAAAGGTTTATCTTGGTACACTAGATAACGGCACCATGGTTGCTGTGAAGATTCTCTCTAAATCATCAAAGCAAGGGTACAAGGAATTTCAAGCCGAGGTTAGATAGGATGATGCTATCACTTTTCCTTTTAAAATCAACTTATGCTGACACTTACGCAGACGTTTGTTCGGAAACTTCCTCTTACACTATTGTCAGTATGCATTATAATAATGCACACTTGTGACACTGCAGGCGCAACTCTTAACGATTATTCACCACGGAAACTTGGTTTCTCTGTTTGGATATTGCTGTGATTCCAAGCACATGGCTTTAATATATGAATACATGGCCAATGGAAATTTAAGGCAACATTTATCAGGTACGTGTTTATGTTCTTTTCTGTTGTTTACTTCTCTAAAATAATCCTGTAAAACTCTATTTCTTGCTCATAGGTAAAGTTAAGATGCATCCATCAGAGGACCATCCGAAGGCCTTGACATGGAGTAAGAGACTACACATAGCTGTAGATTCAGCACAAGGTACATGTTGAGATATCCACAGTTATAGGTTCTTTCCCGACATTGCTTTGGCATTGTTGACATGGTTTTTGCGAGGAGTTACAGGTTTGGATTATTTGCATAATGGTTGCAAGCCACCCATCATCCACAGAGACTTGAAGACGACAAACATCTTGTTGAACGAAGACTTCCGAGCAAAAATAGCTGATTTTGGCCTGTCAAGAGCTTTTGCGACTGAAAACGACTCTTATGTGTCAACTTGTCCTGCGGGCACTCCTGGCTACCTTGACCCCGAGTAATGGCTAAAACTTAATATCATCAATCTGGTTCAGTTCAGGATCTCTATTTTTATAGAAATATTGACATTACTTAGGATTCATCTTTGATTTAAAGATCCGTTATTTGTTTTTTATTTTCCTCCCAGGTTTCAATCTTCAGGAAACTTAAACAAGAAGAGTGATGTTTATAGTTTTGGAATCGTACTCTTTGAGTTGATCACGGGCCGACCCGCAATAATGAGAAGCCGGGATGGCAACACCAGCATGCACATACTTCAATGGGTGATTCCAATAGTTAAAAATGGTGATATACAAAGGATTATGGATCCAAGTTTACAAGGAGAATTCGATATCAACTCGGCTTGGAGAGTAGTGGAGATTGCTATGTCTTGTACGCGATCGACGGCGATTCATCAAAGGCCGGACATAAATAATGTATTAGCAGAGTTGAAGGGATCTTCGGTGAGCAAATCGAGTGGTTCTTTTAAAATGACCTCCCTGGAGCTCCATTCTGACAATGCCCCTGTGGCAAGGTAGCAGAACTCCAATCCAGAAAGGCTATTTTCTTTTTAGGTAAAAGATTAACCTTTGTCCGCAAATTTGTACTTTTTTTATTTATTTTCGATTGCATCATCCATTTCCCTTTTCTTTTCTGTGATTGAATCTTCGAAACTCGCTTTATAACAATGATATCCTTTCGTCCTTTGTCCCTCCCTTCTCCATTCATAATGTCAGCTCATGGCACTCCTAATACTGCGAAATTAGGAATTCCATGTTGAGTTTGTGGGGAGGTAATTTTGGAGAAAATATTAGGTACCACTGTGATTCCACGGTGGCAAAAAAACGAGCATCCCTCCGTGCGACACGTGTCAGGGGGCCCACCCGGTCAACAACTCCAACTTTGAAAATATAGCGCCTCTCTCTCTCTCATCTCTCATCACTCTCGCGCCCCAACCCCTCTGTCTCTCCTCCCGGCTCAGAACTTGCGCTCCATCCAACTCCTCCAACGCCTCCGCCTCCGACGCCGACGCCGACGACGACGTGCTCGCGCTCCCAACCTCTCTCTCCTCCCAACCAGAACGACTTTTACGGGCAGCTCATTAAACCAATTTCTGCTTTTTGTTCTTTCAAGAAGCCTAAACCGTCTGCATTTTTTTACTTTAGATAATTCTTTGACACATGGCCAGTGTCGTTTCAAGTCTACTTGTATTTCCACACTGGTCTCTTTTTCATGTCTTCTCATATTTCCACACGGCTGCATTCTTAGGTGTACCTACTACTTGAAATGAGCCTCCTTTAGCTCTTTTTGGAACAATGACACCAGCATTTCTTGAAGAACACTCAGCTTCTTTTGGCTGAAGGAAGCCACCTAAAAGCACACTGAGTTCTTTGTGGCGTTCAGCAAGGCCAGGATCACCATCAACACCCTGTCCCATCTCCACCCCCATGCACCATCTCTACCAATTTGCCCCATTTTTGCTATTCGCAAAAAAGGTAAATCTAACACAAACGAAAGATCTTGATCAAGATTATCTCAACTCCAATTTCAGCTTAAAGGTTATCCTTCTCAAGACGGTTAATTTAGTAATAACAGTATAAATCTAACAAAAAACCCGTGTTGCCAAATTTTCTAATATTGAACAAAAATTTAAGCCGATAGGCATTCTTGAGATGAGTGATAAACTAGTAATAATAATAGGAGTACGAACGATGAGGGATAACTTAATTAGTCTAAAGAAAAGAAAACAAAGAAAGCCTAAGTAATGCAGGGTGAGACGCGGCAGGGGTGGGCCGGACTGCGGCTGCGCCAGGCAGGGCAGCCAATCAGGATGGGTGGTTGCCACATGAATACATGCTGAACGTCACCTTGCTAGCTGTTTGTTTATCAGGTACCTAGCTACCTCAACTGTCACGCCCCGAACCCCCGTCGGGCCCGCAACATCCCGCCTCCGGTCGAATAGCTGCGACGTCCCAGGTTATCGCCGACCTCAACTAAACATCATAGATTTCATTGCGCAAACGGAAAACAAAAAAAAAATACCCGGACAAATTAAACTGGGGAGAATTGGGAGAATATACATTTCCAGTACTCGATCAAACTTATTCCACCATATTTACAATAGAACAAACCTTAGATTACCAGTACACACATTCCTAAAACCTTTGAAAGTAAGAACAAAAACAGACGACCTGGCATACTAACTTCCAAAAATGTTACCCTTCTGAAACCCACCAGAAACTCTGCCACATCGTACTTCGCGTGCACTGGTATCCCAAAACGTACTGGCGGCGGTGGTGGAGGGTTCATGGGTCCTGTCGGGGTTCTGAAATTATTGGTTGAAACAACCATGAGAACACTTCTCAGTAAGTACACCCCTAAACTCAACCTAGGCTATCACGTACCTCCAGACAATTACGCAATCACACACATATATTCACACATGCTGAAACATCACATTGCAGGCACATCAAATAATATTGCCAGGCTCAATCATGCGCACATCAGCATTCAAACTCAATCACGTCAGATGTACACACGCACATGTATCATTCTCATCCCACTGTTCCTTCCATCCTCATTCCTCTTTCATATTTCTCGCCAGTGACCCGCGTTGAAGTACACGCCTCAGGCACACTGCGACAATTCATTTTCCACAACACTCGCCAGTGACCCGCGTTGAAGTACACGCCTCAGGCACACTGCGATCATTCACCACATCCGGCCCGCGTACCCGTTCACGCCTCAGGCCCCAATCGCGACCTGAGCATCACACGCCCCAGGCCCGATCCCAACTCAGCCCGTGCCAAATGCGATATGCCTACATGATTGGAACCCGAGCTTATGATGCCTCGGTCCAATCCCGGTCTCACCCGAGCTGGTCATGCCTCGGACCGAATCTCATACTTGCTTTTTCAAGCCTCAGCCTATGCCAAATGCAACAGACCTACATGATCGCTGCCCGAGCTTATGATAATCGGCCCGATCCCATTCTCGCACTTACACACCTTCACATAACTTCCACTATCACATGCCGCACCACTTTTCTTTCTTACTCATGCACATGCTCATCAAGCATTTACCACACTCAACTGGCCCATCACACGTGGCCCGTGCACGCATCAATTAACACGTAAAACATGCTCACTCAGCATTCGACATGGTCAATTTCAACAATTAATTCAATCTGGCCCACGCGTGCACATAATCAAGCACATTTCAATCCATCAAATCACGGTTCAATAAACACACAAGGCCGCTCATGGGCCCACAATCACAACCACGTTCATAGGCATAATTTCGACATTTCAAAGCCTATTAAACATCACAATCTAACCATACTACCACACACCAAACCGACACTACCTGGCCTTAAATCGAGCCCTAAGTTTGCCAATTCCATCCCACAACATCCGACACTCTATTCAGTCTCACTCCAGCCTCGAAACATCCTCATTTCATCCTCGAGTTACCTCATATAACACACAAACAAATACTCAATTAAATCAACCCCATCCAGAATAATTCAAACATGCCCAAAACACGTAAATTGCCAATTTTCTCCAATCAATTCCGATCCTTCACGACACTTTCTCGCCATTAAATAATGGTTCTAAAAATCCAACTTGCGTCCCGAACAAATCATCACAGCCCCGTGAACAGTAAATCACAGCTTGTGAACAGTAATTCGCAGCTTATAAACAAACATATAACCATCACAATCGCGAGTAATTTCAATCACAAGGACCCTCACAATTCAACCACGACATCACACAACAATCCGACACATATACACCACAAATCAAGCCATAAACACATTATTCCGAACCACAAATTCCAGCATGTATACTTCTCGTAGGCAGCCCTTATTTACTCTCTAAATAACCCCCAAACCATCATAATTCCAGCCATAATTTCACCCAAGGTGAACTCGATAAATTCGTCCATGAAACAAACCCCAAAATTTGCCGAACACTAGTCCGTTAATACCGAAATCATTATTTTTCTTCCACCAAACGACGTCAAATCGATTTCGGTCCTTCACGGGACTTTTTCACCATAATTTCTTGGTTCTAAAAATCCAACTTGCGCCCGATCGGCCCATCACGGCCCCATGAACAGTAGATCACAGCCACTGTTATTTTCTAATTTCCAATAATTAATGCCCGAATTAAATCCCAAGGCCCGCCATAAAATTTCCACTACCAATTCATACAATTCCGCACCTAACTTTATACAGATTTCGCCCAAAATCGCCCGTCGATACCCGAAGTCCTAAATTGGATTTAGAGCACGACTTACCCGCGTTCTAGACTATCGCGGCTAGAACGGAGAGCGGCGGCACTAAATCGGAGACGGCGGTGACGGCGTACGGCTCCCGGGTGGCGGCGATTGGCTTGGGTGGCGACGGCGCGGCGTGGGCGGTGGTTGGGGGCTCACGACCAAGAGAGAAAAACCGAGAGGGAGAGAGAGAACGGCGGCATGGGAGGGGGGGGGGCTTGAGGCTCGGCGGTGGAGCAGCGGCGATCCGGCGGGCATGACCGGCGGCGGTGATGGCGCGGCGACGACGGCAAAGGGAGAGAGAGAGAGAGAGAGAGAGAGAGAGAGAGAGAGAGAGAGAGAGAGAGAGAGAGAGAGAGAAAATGGGTCCATGGTGGGGGGTGGGGGCTTACGGCCAAAAAGGGGGAATTTCACGATGAGGAAGGAGGAAGAAGAGAGAGAGGAGAGAGAGAAAGGGGGGTCAAGAGCTTAAAAATCAATTTTGACCAACTTTTTGGCAATTTACCAAAATGCCCTTCTCTCACACAACTAACCCTTTATTAATTCCCAAGGTTAAAATGGTCACTTCCTCCGTTTCTCTCCGAAATCGAATTTTTCCGAAGGAATTGAGCGTACCAAAAATTGACATGTGTCACGTGCAACGTCGTCCTAACGTTCCGTCGTGACTTCCTAATTTTCTGGTGTCCAATTTGGGTAAAATTCCATAATTAAATTCTATTAAACGCAACTCAAGCGTTTCTCGAGCTAACGGGCGGCTTGCTGAGGAAATTCGCAGAATCAACTCATGACTGATACTGAATCAAGTCACGTGCAAGTCCGTTCGGTGCGTGACGACCTCGGTTGTCATTAAAATCGCGAAGATCAATCACTTGATCCGAGGGGTACGATCGTTCGGTATAATTTCAGAATCATTCGTCAAGTCGTTTCGTGGTCCAACGGAATCACCCGCGATCCACTACTATGACAGTGGCGAACTGACCCCTAACTATCCTTGGATCGGCCAATAGTGGCTCAAAATATCACTTCCGCGATTTAATGGTTGAAATCCATTCACGATCGAATTTCCTTTAGTCGCGCGAATTTAATTAGCCTTTCCCTAATGGTTAGCATTCCCAGGAATGATCAGTTCCGGGCGAGAACTAACTACAAGTACATTCATAAAATCCAGTATTTCATAAATCCCAAATGGACTAATTTTTCAGGAGTTCACAATCTTCCCCCCTTATAAAAATTTCGTCCTCGAAATTTACAAATCCCACCACTACTCAAGATTTACAATCTTACTACTGCTCAAACAGCTAGGGGTATTGACGTTGCATCATCTTTTTGCTTTCCCAAATGGCACCTTTTGTCCTTCAGTGCTCCCATACACTTGGATCACTGGGACTGACTTATTATGCAGCCCATGATCCTTTCTGTCCTCAA